TTCCATCAATTACCCATCAGCAGTTATCTTCAGATACATTTACCAATAAACTACGACACACAAAATCACAAAAAAAAAAAAAAAAAAAAAAAAGGAATCACGTCTCAGGAGTGTTTTCTGATCCGTCTAAGCTCGCTCACCATAGACAGAGTGACACTGGGAGAAGAACAGTGGGTCTTGGGTCAGTAACACCAAGCAGCTATAGGCAGACCACAGCAGCACCTCATTATTAGCACTGGCCAGGCAGTCGAACATAAACTCTATGAGGGGAAAAAGAGAGACGGAAAGAAGAGAGAACTTTTGTGAGGGACCAGAGAAACAAGAGAGAAAAACAGAACAGTAAATATTGTTGCTACACATTGTATGACTCCTCCGTAGCGTCATCACACCACTTCCACAGTATGGTGTAATGTCTTCATGCAAATGTAGCAGATGATAAACAAAACAAAACGTTCACAATATTCTCTTTTGAAAGCCCAACTGTATTCTGAAATTCTTGGGGCAAGAGAAAAATACAAATACAATCCCCACAATGATGAGAAGATAGAGTACATATAAAAACAGCAGAGAGACAGACAACAAGAGAAATACCAAACGTTTAAACAAAGAGAGGGAGTGGAAAGGGAACGCAGAAGAAGGCAAGGGAAATTATTTGTAGAAGGGGAAATCAAAGCAGGCAGCAGCTTGAATATCCAGCCCCTGTGTTTGCGTGTCTGCGTGTGCGTCTCACCAGGTACGTCAGCCTTGATGAAGGGAGCGCTGTACTGACTGGGAGAATGAACCAGGACACATGCAATACACTTAGCGCTGGTCACCTGCAGCGTCTCATCGCCACTCAGCAGCAGCTGGAAGACACGTTTTATGGCCTTTATTAGAATCCGCCGGTCAGCCAAAGACACAAACAGAAGTGCCAGGCTTCCACAGTGTTTACAGACTGTCTGAGGTACATAAAGTGTCTTCAACGCTGCCAGGTCGCTGATGACTGTTGGAGATGATGTAATATTTTGCCAACTGTCTAGCTCTCATCTCCTGTGCACTGTTTGTGCTGCAAAGTTGAAGTCTGAGGTTATTTGAAGACAATATTAATTCTCTGGATCATTCATGCAACTACTCATTGACACTGTCCTCTCAGACTAAAATAACATACTTAATGTGCTGGTTATGTCACTTAGTACCAACAGCAACTACTAAACAAATCCACCATGTGGAAAATGTGGGATCAGCTGTTACAGTATTGTTTTATTCTGCCATGTTGCACTGTGAATTAGACTTCAGTTTGCATGACTTTTCCCCCTTGTTTAGTTTTAGTCTAGTGCTGTTACTGTTGTTTGCCGACACAACACATTGAGTTTTTTTTTTTTATCACTCTTTGCCTTTCAAGTTCTCTGTAGTTTTTCTGCAGTTGTTCCTGATTCACAGTCAATTTATGTGGTAGGATGAATCCTAAGAACAACACATTAATTATGTTTTAGGAGATGATTATATTTGGGTCATTATTTAGGTAAGAGTTAGTTTTATAGCCACTCAACACACACTACTGATCTACAAAAAGACTTCCAACGTCACGAGCTGTGCTGTAATGTGAGTCATGACTGAGATAATCTAACTAGATGTAATCTACACATTGATTTCCCAGACATGAAGCACAAATATTTTTCCAGGGTAAACCCCCACTGAATCCCCATTCAAAGGCACATTAATCCAGGATTAGAACTTCTTGTTATGATTATGGTCAGTGCCAGAATGCAGGTTTTGAGGGTGTGAGCAGGATGTTTGGACAGAGACCTGTTTCAGTATGAGAGGCAAATGGCAGTGGTCATGGGGCTGTTGCTCTTGGTTCTGGCAGACGACCTGGCTGTTGTTGGTGCGGCTGTCCTGGGTCTCACTGCACATGATCTGACTGTTCATCAGAACTGACACTGTCTCTCCCAGCTGCACCAGCAGCCACAGCAGGCCTAACAGATGACAGACAAGGTGTGAAAACGGATAACGATGACAAATACATGCACGCGTGTTCAACCTTTCACAAATTGAACATATTGAACAAATTCTAAACACATGAATTCATTTCCTGTGGCATCAGACAAAACTGCTGCTTTGTTTTTCTACTGTTCATTGGTGAATTGGTCTGTTGCAGAGACCACAACAAATAGTTTTAACGACATGCACTAATGGGACTTATCAAACTACTTCTGCAATTATGAAAAACATGGCGTGGAGACTCTTCATGAGCTATAAAGAAAATCATAAAAATGCAGAGTGCATCTTGCCAAAGCAAAGCATGAATAAAATATGGTTATCTTTACTGTAGCTACTTCTTAAACAGAGTTTACACAGGTCAGGTCAGTCCTCATTAAGGAGTAATCATATGGACACGCCCATCATGCAGAGACCTCTAACATATGTAATAAACATCAACAATAAGGCCCAAAGTCACAGTTTATACAGACGCACATGGAGGCACATGAGTTCTCTGAGGCCCGTCCTTGAATAGTGCAAAACACAGTGACATTAGCTGCATAGCTCTTCTTTTTCATTCCAGCCATCTGTTTAATTCCTCCATGTTGCTGCTCTCACTGGGGCTGGTGAGGGTGAGTTTATTAGGATTAAATTGATTTAAGATTTACACAAACAACAACACCAACGGCTCAACTATAAAACCTAGACTAAACCCACCTCTCACTCTATTCCAATTCCACTATGAATGTGACAACTTCAAAATTTCTCAAAGGTAATGACTCTATTTCCTTTTAAGTGACTCCTTTGCATCCTGCATAGACCCCGGTTGTGGTCGTCACCAAAGCACACCCTGGAGAGATTATTATTCTCATCACTCAGAACTCCAACAAGATAGAAACACTCTCTCATCTTCAGTGTGATCCCTCCTCTTTCTCCAGTTAGCCTCACCCTAGATTCTGCATCTTCAGCGAGAGAGATAATGATGGACATCATTTTATGACCTATTAGCTTTTTTTTAAATAAGCTATTAGCTTTTCTTTTTTGACAAAAAATAACCCCTACCAACTAGCGGAGACCTCTTGTGATGAGATAGCGCTCGGTGAATTCAGTTTGGTTCTGGCATAAAAAAACCTGACATGAAAAAACATAATTGCACCCCATGCTATAAAGTCTTTTACTCCTCTTTGAAGTCCACACCCTAATTGTCCTCATCCTAATTCTCTCCCAGGCAGTTGGTAGTGAGGTTATACGCTTCATAAATGACAACAAATTCATAATAGCCTTTTCCTCAGACTGTCACCAAAGTAGTTGTTGTGCTCAGCTAAAAAATTTCATCCAATTTTAATAACATCCTCCCCTTATCTCGGCTCGCAAATTGTATTTCTCAAACTTGCCTAAGCAAAGCAGAGCTCAACTTCTCCAAACCTTTAGATGATAGCGACTCAATCTCACTTAGTCTATCCAGTGTAATAAATCTAAATGAGGCGAATAATATATGCAATTTTTCATCCAGGCAGCTAATGATGGGCTCAATGATATTTTTATACATTCATCCTGAGGAGATGAGTTTCTTCACAGAAAAGTAACTAAAACTCACTCTACACACGTTGCCATGAAATCTTCTACTTCAAAAAAAATGAATATTTTAATTTTCTGCTGCAGAAACATTTAGACGATATCCTGGTTTTGCTCTAGACAGCTAAATTCAAAGGTACTACTCGACTGAGATGATTGAATATGATTAATAAAAAACATTTTGAGGTTACTGTCATCATAGATTCCTATTTTGTCATGGTTTATCTTATTTCATGCGTCTGAAATCATCTCGCAAAAGGTTTTGCATGTCATCTGTGCATGTCGAGATGAAGGGCAGGACTTTATTATTCATATTTTTTTTTAAATATAACCTTTTCCAAGAAAAAAAAAAAGAGTAAATGAATGAATAAAACTGACATGTTTTTCTCACCAGTGCAGTTGTTGATGAGCTGTGGGGAGCATGCATTGGTTAAGGTCTGCAGCAACAGGATACACACTCTGTCCCTGATGGCAATGGGCAAAGACTGGGCCGCCGAGCCCCCGGCTGTCCCGAACAGTTTGAGCCACACAAAAAGCACCGAAGCCTTCAGCGCTTCATCTGGGTAAAGCATGGCAGAGCACAGATGCTCCAGCAAGGGCACTGGTGGACAGAGACGGGAAACAGATGCATACACACATAAACAAACAGAGGATCTACACACAATAAAAGAGGGGGATATATATACAGGAAACTGGGTCGGTTCAACCACATCGAATAAATATTTCACATAATAATGGGATATACCATGTAAAGTGGGTGCAGTCATGTGTCTGAAGATACCCATACGTTTAAATTTTTCAAGAAAGGCCTTTGTTTGCGTGAGCGAGTGACGCATGAGAAAGACAAAGACACCCGCAGGAGAGGTAATGGTTATATATTGTGAGAGAAACACAGATCAACAGACAACAAGAGCAATGAGAGGGATGAGGAGAAAAACCGCTGGGAACAAAGTGCAGCTGAATTTCACCTTAAACTCTTTAGCTATTGCAGACTATTGCAGAGCCAACAGTGGAGGGAAAGTTGCCATGAAGATGAAAGGACTGAAGACTGGCTATTGGGGACAGAGTGCAGTAAAATGGCAGGCGGGGAAGAGTGAGTAGAGAAGATTAAAAAAAAATATATTGGGAGTAGGATAGTAGTCTTTTGTCTGAGCGCAATAGATTCCCAAGTACACTGTCTGACTGAGAGAGCATGATTCAAATTGGAAAGAAGGGAAAAAAAAGAGAGAAAGACACAAGGCAGAGAGAGAGAGTGAAAGAAAAGAGAAAGGTAACAAGATACAGGCAGAGGTAGAAAGGCCGAGTTAATGGAGGAGATAAAACCTGAGAGTGAGAGGGTATGAGACAAACACAAGGAGGGAGGGCCAGGCACACAGCCACAAAAACAGAGGGGGAGGCAGAGACAGTCATATACAGTACATGTTATTGTAATGCATACCTGTGTGTGCATTTACATTTCTTGACCACACACTTTGGTCCTGAAATGATCAAACAAGCTGTACTAATCAAATGTAGTTAGTTCAGCTCAGAGTGACAGACAACATACTCCCAATCATGCAGCCTCTGAGGCCTTAATATATTCTAAATACGTGCGATCTCCATCGAGACATGCACTTAAAGAAGGGATATTAGCCACTGAGATCCCTCACTTCCTGAGGACACAAGTCTACTGACTCTACTGCGTTTCAAAGTTTCCTCATCAGTCTGTGTGTGAAGAGAAACCATCACTGTTCCCACTGGCTTCAGCGTTCAGCGTTCGCCACTTTATGAATTAATCAGATTATATTAATGTTTTGACATTTTTGACATTCACATAATTTGTAGCAACTCAATATAAAAAAAATTGGACGACTTTGTTAATGTAGTTTTTCAGAGATTAATTTAGCCTTAATGCAAATTCTGCTACTTGAAGAATTATTCATAATATTAAAAAAGTTCCATCTATGCAGAAATGTAAATAAATTAACAAGTAGAAAAATGAAAAGCATTAAAATCACTGCAACATAGTCAATAATGTCAAAGTAGAATTACCGCCTTGCAGGAAGTAGAGTATGCTCACAATCTCTGCTTCTGTTCTCGAGTGACAGCAGTGAATAATGGCCACAAGTGTTTTTGCAGAACATTATGATGTCACAATGAAGTTGACCTTTTAACCGTTTGGAAATAAAATGTCATCACTTCATCATTTTATCCTATTAGACATTTGTGTTGAATTGTGTCACAGTTGACCCGTGACCTTTGACCACCAAACTCGAATGCATTCATCCTTGAGTCCAAGTAAATGTTTGCACCAAATTTGAAGAGATTCTCTCGAGGACATTTCCGAGATATCGTGCTCACGAGTCCAAAAACATGTTTTGTGAGGTCACAGGGATCTTAACCTTTGACCTTTGACCTTTGACCACCAAAATATAATCAGGGCCGAGACGGACGGGAAGATAACCTTGAGCCTTTACACGGCAGGTACAATTAACAAAACTACTGCAGCATGTCATCAAAATTGTTCGATTGCGAAAAGTATGAGAGGACAAAGGTCGACATAATGGAAGACAGAGACGGGAGGCCAGCGAAGACAGAGAGACAAATAAGTAAAAAACTGTAAATGTGTGAACTTTGTGAACAAAAGAATAAACAATGTCATATTGCAGGACAGCGCCGGAGCTGGAGGGAGACAGAGGAAGAGAGAGACATGACAGAGGAGGAAAGTAAAACCCAAGCCCAGCTGCTCTGTGAAGCAGATCAAAACCCATGTGAGGCAGGAGAGGCTCCCAGACATGTTTGATTAAACCAAAATATATGAGGCGGCCAAGATGAGAGCCAGGCATGAAGAGAGAGAGAGAGGGGGGGTGGGAGAGAGCGAATAGGGGAGGTGGGGGAGATAAGACATCCATAGACAGAGGATGGAAATGGAGGGAACAAAATGTGAGAGAGTGCTAAGAGGATGGGTGGGAAATAAAAAGCCTTACTGCTGTTCAACACATTTTATGGCGCATGCGTCCAAACACAGAGACTGAGACACAGACGACAGAAACTAAAACATTAAACAATTTTTTCTTTTTTTCTTTCTTTGTCAGAGAGAAAAAAAAAGAAGGTTAATTTCCGTTTGCCTTGTTTACCGTTTTGCTGCCCCACTGTGAAGCTTGTGCGCTCCGTCCGTCTAGTGATCTGCCTTCTACAGTATCTACTGTTTTTCACTTGCAGCTTCACCCTGCTTAACAAACCCTTTTCACACTTCCAGTGTTTCCCACAAATGAAATATATTTGTTTGGCCCATTCAAATAACCCCCCCCCCATCCAAAGCCAAAAGGAATCATCTCTGTATTTTTGTGTCTCTCTTTTTTTTAATGTCTACATAAAAAGACGGTTGAAAGTGCAGACTGAGCTGTCAAAAATGGTGTATTAATGCGGAGTCTTATGAGGGAAATGATGTCCTTAATCACTTAGCTCCGTCACTTAACTTGTCTTCCACTTATCTTTGTCTGCCTTCCTCTTTCCTTATCTCATTAATGCTTCATCTTCCCTCCCCGCTCCCTCACTTTGTCTGTATCCACTCCTCAGTTAGGACCTGAGGGAGTAAGACACCAGCAAGGCAGAAATAAGAGAGGAGGGATGGGAGAAGAGAGAGAGAGAGAGAGAGAGAGAGAGAGAGAGAGAGAGAGAGAGAGAGAGAGAATGAAAAACAAATTCAAGCCGAGGAAAGTGATGGGGTGAGAAAAGCAGAGGGGTTAATCAGTTAGATAGGCAGGCAGACATCGAGGCAGAGAGAGGGAGAGTGAAATGGGTTGTGCTGCTCTGGGCTCATGTTGTCATTGCCGTGCTGTTGTCGTTAGTCCAAACAGCCCCACAGAGACGTGCTGAGTGACAGGCCACAGACAGGCACACACAGTCAATAGTGGCAGCCCGCATCTTGCATCAGCATCGCAACAACCCGCCGCTACCTGCAGCTGCTCAGGGGAGCTTGTAAAACTCATGAAAATACATGGGAGGTGGACACACGTAGCATAGTAAAAAATGACTGTGATGCCTGCTTATTCGGCTGAAGGCTCACTCTTGCCTATGAAGACGAGCACTGAGGCATGACACAAACACACTACGGCGCGCAGACGCTTGAAGCTGATTCACCGTGCCCATTAAAACGAGAGTGGCGTAATGGTTCATTTGAGTAGACAGACATCATACAGGTGGGTTGTAGCAGGGAATAAATCAGCGTAGTTGTGAGTGACACTGGATGAACATGTATTTGTAATTTTTCTTACTTTCTTATTTTTAAATCATGAGCTGGCATGGGACTGGCTATGCAGACAGAATTTTGAGTATGGACACAGCACAGTTATCTCAGTCCAGCTGGAGAGTAATTGAAAAGGTCATACAGTTAAAAAAATTGAAATGAGAAAGTTCAGGGGAAAGAATATGTAAAATACAGTTCTGTGACTCATTTTTTTTTGTCACCTCTCAGAAGCCGAGGGAGCGGAACAGGGCACAGCATGGGGAAGTGGACACGGTACAAACATTTCTATGCAATTAGGATATAATTAAAAAGGTCAAACTAGGCCGTTGTGATTGTGTGATTGTGGATATCCCTGGAAGGAAGACTAAATATTCTTTCATATATTCCTCTTCCATTGGAGGGGAACTTTGGTATTTTTAACATATTCCTTGATCTCAGTGTCTGAGGTGAAAGTTTTCTATTCTCCCTTAAGGGAGAATACATGTGCACAAGGAAGTCAGAGGTCAGAGGTCAGAGGTCTGCTTCAGATCAGTCAGCTGATGAGGTTTCATTTCTTTGCTCAAGGACACTTCAGCAGAGTAATTGTGGTTTAACCCGGGCCCCCCCACTAAATACTTCAGCTTTTAATCCACTACTGAGAAAGTTAACAAGGCAATGATATGAATTGCTGACAGCATTTGCATGGACAACAGCTGTTTATCACCTACCGTCTAACAGCAATGTCGACACCAAAATGGACTCTTCTTTATCAAAACAGGAACAGTCAGAAAAAATAATTTAATTTCACATGAAAATACACTGTTGGTTTCGCTTCGCACCAGCGCCTGCATTACTGTGAGATGTGATTGGGTGTCTGCTGCATCGTCTCACCATACTCAGTCACCAGGCTTTGGGCCACGTTGGGGACTGCTTCCATCAGGGTCCCCAAGAAGTTAAATGTGGGCAGGGAAGCTTTCACACTGAGCTGGTCACCAAGCTGGACAGGGAAAGCACAAAGTAAAAATCAGATACAACAGACATACAACTATGTAAAGAAACTTGTCGAACTCGCTGAAAATGGCAGAGACACATATTCACACTGTAAAGCTGCACAGCGCTGAAGTGCTGTACAGGGCTCAAGATCAACGAGATTTCAGATACTTGACACAGAGACAGTCAGGGACGTTGTGCACAGAAATGAGCCAGTAATGCAAAAGAGGTGAGTTAAAAGTAGATGGGTGGAAAAAATAAACCAAAGTAAGCTCTACAATGTAACACTTCTGCTTATGATATGTTATTTTTGCAGGATTAAAATTAAAATCACCCCTTCAGGACAGTTATAGCACCGCAGCAGGTGTGAAAAAAATGTAGCTTCCACAACGATATTCATGATTTTCATTTTACTATGTTGACAACTGCTACAACACTCTCATTTATAATGCAGAGCCACTCACATATTCATTTGAGACATATGTCCGTAATTATCTTTTTCAGAACTCAGAAAACAAACCTGTCTCTTTCACCAGTCAGACCACAGTAAAACTCTGTATTCTCAAAGGAGGGTTCTTTAAATACATTCAGTCCAGAAGGTTCTAATCAGGCTCTATTCTAGTAAGGTAAATGAGACTTGTCTGCACCTCTACCTGGATGTTTACCCCCCTGTCATCATCAGTATACACAGCTTTACTATTTTCCACCCGCAGCATCGGCTACTGAATGAAGCTTTTCCACTGCTGCCTCCCCCAGAGGGGACACAACAGGAGGGGGAGGGGGGGGACACTGCCTGTTAACTAAACAACCCTCTGAGGATACGCTGCTAGTTGCACAAGCGCTGTTGAAAGTTTTAAGATGTTGAGCGTGTTCCTGTGCCTGGATGTGTAGATGAGCAAGTGTGTTTCTCCATATGTCTGTACCTGTGTTTGTCTCACCTGTTTGTGCACCTCATCCAAAACAAAGCGATACAACACCTCACTCTGCAGCTCTGAAAGCAGCTGAACCAGCACTGGCACACGTAAACACACACAAATGAATGCAGAGAGAGAGACAGACAGACAGACAGACAGACACACACACACACACACACACACACACCAAACAAAAAACACAGCAAAGCATTCATGGTTAGTTGCAGTTTTCTAGGAAAAACAAAATAACATTTCAAGTTCATTAATTCAAAATTGATGATGAGTTATCCAGTTTTTATCTCTTTTAAATTCAGTTTCATTTTTGAATTTTGTTCAATCAAAGTTTATCTTGTGAGTGACTGTGACAATGTGTTGCACTTTAAGGATCATTATATGCCAACAGTCTATAGTGTTTATTAACATGTCACTGCCATAAGGACAAGATCCAGCTGTACCCCTCAGCTCTGCTTTACATGGCTTTATACAGAAGCTGGTGCTAGAAAAGATCTGGAAGACTGTTGCCTTTCTGTCTCCTCACACACTTACAGATATAATGACTGTATTATTTGTGGGGCTCAAATGAGTTTCAAAATGTGTTCTTCACACATTATCCGTAAAAAGAGCAAACGCAGTGTCAAATTTAAAGCACTCCACTAACTATTATAGGAAAGTGGTCCCTAAGGCATTGTAAGACAGCTACCATAAAATCATTCTGTCATTTGCACTTACCAAAACATTTTTGCATTTTGAACGACTTAGCTGCAGTGAGACAAATCTGCCTGTGTGCTAAAAACTGCTAGTTCACCGAGAAGCAAACATTAAGACAAGATACAGAAAAATCTGCATACAGCTGCCTGAAGAGAAATAGGTATTTCAGCTATGCACAATGCAGCAGTGACAGAATATTAACATGGAAAACAAGGTCAAAACCTTCAAAAATTTAGACACTGGAACAGTGAAGTCAATCACCTTAGTTACCGGCAGTGACCATGATCACAATCACAAACAGAGTTTTTGTGTAAGTCTCTAAGAAAAAGAATGACTCATACCTGTGTGTGTGTGTGTGTGTGTGTGTGTGTGTGTGTGTGTGCACTTTCACACTGTTTGAGAAATAGTGCACACACACACGCACACACACAAATACACCACAAAGAGGCATCTCTTCACCTTGATGAACCTTTTCCAGAGTGGCTGGATCCTCCACGGTGTGAAGCATCCCTAGGGACAGAACAGTAATGACAGACTAGATTTAAAAAGCAGACTTCACAAACCCACTGAAATGTACAGAGGTCCCAGGGAGGTGTAATAAGAAAAAAGGACGCCAGAAAGTGAACACTCATATATGAAAAAGGGACAAAGTAGGTTCAGAAGTATGGCAGCTTTACAAAACAGAGGCTACAAGGTGCCAAAAATATTAAGTGGAGATTTCTGTTTTGGAGTTTTGAGCTGTAACTGATCAGACTTCATGGAACCTGTGTGTGACTCACAGATGTTGCATCATCTGTCGGTTGGATTCGTTTTGCGGTAAAAAAAAAAAAGAAAAAAAAGAAAAAAACGAGACATATCATGAAGCAAGTGTGTAACAAATGACAACAGTTCTATGCTGCATTTGTAAATACTACCATACAAGTATGTAAACAAGCATAGTGTGTAGTGAGGGGGGATAAAAGACATATTTTATATTGGATTATGTTCTCATGGGTAAATGGTATAGCTCAGTTCAGCAGACCACAAGCACTGCAATGGCTCTTTTAATGTCTTGTCTTATTGGTCAGAGATTTTACAGGCTTACCATTTTACCATATATTCTGTCATTGCACTAATTTGATCGGAGCTAAAATTGTATAGGCCTAATACTTTATGCTGCAATAACCTAGATAAGTGTATCCAGTGAGGGGGGAGTATCAGTAATATCCTCTGATGATGCAATACCATAAAAACAGTTATAATCATAGCATTGGTAGAGTGGAACTCACCAGTGCTATTTAATACACACACAATATTTTTGACTTTATATACCTTCACGATAAAGGGATGAATGCTAAAGTCATTCCCTGCTTGAAGATTTGCATCAGTCATTCTGCTTTGTTATCAGATGTGTTGTTGACTGTTCTGAATATTACATAGAGAATTTGTCTGACTCTGCGATCAGCAGAGTATGAAACTGCATACTAAACAAATTTATGCCAATAGCTGATATTTTGTGCCACTGTGGGTTTTATTTTAACTATTTCAACAAAAAAAGAGTATTGACCAAAAAATGTATTTTTGATTGAAAGGAAAACATCTGAAATATTTAGACAGCCAGAAGCAAAACTGTCCATGTGACTATAATCCATGTGAATTATTTTAGAGGATCGATAAATTGTATATAATTAAACTATACAATGACAACACAACTTCACCTCATATTTAACATAGCTGTCATGAAAAAGGAAAATCAGTCGTATTTACAGGACAAAGTATGATACTCTGTAATTAGTAAAGGCCCAAATATCTGCCTAGTTCATCAGAAAATTAATGTATTGTATGGTAATGCCCATAATGCGAAAGAAATCTTATCTATGTGAATCTTGCTTTTATTTATTTATTTTTTTTTTTAAATAAAACTGTATTCTGTTGAATATTGTGAATATCCCTGTATCTCACTGCTCGGGAAATGTGATAAGACTCTAAAGTCTCAGTTGTTCAGTCTGACCTTGCAGAAAAAGCAGCGATGTGACTGAGGCACTAGCACAACTGTGGAATGACGAGGTGGAGATTAGTTCCAAGGAGAAGGAAAGTCATGCAACCAAACTCAAGCCAGTGAGATGTCTGGAACAACCAGCGCTGGTTAATAACGGTCACTATCAAATTGGACGATCTGTGCACTGCTCAGTCCAACTTACTGTAGATGCTTCCTGTTTTTTAATGAATAAGTGGCCTTCCAAACAACCCAGAAAAATCCAGTGCTTCCTAATGATTCTTGCAAGTCCTTCCCTCACATCCTAATCTTGTGTTGTACGTGACACTGTTTCTCACCCAGTAGTGAAGCTGTAAAACGCATAGAGACTCTGTTGTCCTGTTGGAGCAGCTCTCCCAAGGCGCCTGGAGAACACTTCAGCACCCCACTGATACCAGACAAGGCAACAAACTTCCTCACTGACTGTACAACAGAGACAAATTGAGTGAGAAAGACAGTAAAGAGAGAGTAAATAAAGCCTGTGCATCAAGGGACATTAATAGCATAATGTTTTCACCATACATATTTTCTGCTAAATCCTAACAAGTACCTGGGACAGGATATGCTGGTGGATGACACACACCTATAACTTAACATACACTTTTCAGCCAAGTAACTATAGTGGATAGGTTAACTCTGGTGGGAGGAAAGCTTCACATTTAAATAGGATGAAACGAGTTCATCATATACGCCTCACCGCAATATCTTCACTCTCAATCATTTCAATGATACAGGCCACACAGACCAGCAGCCCGCCGCCCTCGGCAGGTCCCAGTCGACCGCTCCATTTCGGGTCATGTCGGAAGTGGATCTTGTCATAAACAATATCTACGCTCATCATGATCCTCCGTTTTCACCTGTTGAAAACTCGGCTCCTTAGCTCGGCGGTCGAGTTGAAAAGCTAGCTAGCAACTGTTATTAGCCGACGAATAAGCCGTTACTGAAGTTAGCTATAGCTTTTTTCGCTAGCTAATTAGCAACTTGTCCGTCCTGCTCGTCAAAAACAAACTTTTAAGTTGCAGTCTGCGTTTTCTTATGTAAAAAGTACGTAAGTATTGATTAAGCCATCACGTAAAATACTTTAAATTGGTAAACTATGTAGCAGGTTAACCGTCGTGCCACATTAGTTATACAACTACAGGTTATATGCTCGAATTTTATACGCCCCTCCCCCACCTTTCAATCAAAACTTTATTTAACAATATACCGTTAACATTGGTACAAAGGTACAAAAACAAGTATAGTGGCAAAGAATGCACGAGTACTGAGAACATTTTATCATTATGTTTAAAAAAAAATCATTAGAAAAGTAGCTGAAAAAAATATTTTTTAAAGTTTAAGATTACCAATAATTACATAGATATGCTGTGTAAGGATTTGTCCTCAGAGATACTTCTTTCATACTGTGTGTGTAAGAAGAAGAAGCTCAACTCACTTAAAAAAAGTAAAAAAAAAAGTTGGGTAAAATAAGTAAATTAACAACATTTTAGAGGCTCGTTATTATTCATAGTAACAAATAATAACTCCAGGGATAAAGTATTAAGAATCATTATTGGCACTGTAAATATCTGAGTCCACTGTAAATCACACCAAAACTTCTATTGTTATTTCATATTAGAAACATTTTTCACCATTCACAATTATCTATAACCACTTCTGGAGATGATAGAGCACTGAATACATTTTATGTATTATTTTGAAATAAATGTCTTTGATAAGAACACTATAATTCAATTGGCTGCCAGAGAAGTAAAAGCCAGGATAGGATTTTTTCAAGATTATATTATCTTTCAAATGTGAACTCCAGCAGAATTTATCTCTGAAAAGAATTTATGAAACATGTTTATCATTACATTTCTTCTCCTGCTATTCATAAGCAATGAAGAAGGTGCATCCAGGGACTCTTTAATAGGTGGATTGATTCAGATTTAAAGGTTCTGATTTAAGAGCTTTATTATTTGACAGGATTTGTGAAGTTGAGTCTATAACTATAGGAAAAATATTAGAATATTCTTGATATTTCTGAAGAATCTCAAATATTATCTTAGTGACTGACTGGCAGTGATTGAGGCACTGGCTCTTATTAAAACTAGTCATGGAAATACTTTATCTGTCTTATCATCACATTATAATTAATTTTTGTACTTGAATTGCCTGAACATCATCTTCCTCCTCAGTTATTTATGCAGTGGTGCTATCAAAAGGTCAAGGGCAGGCTGATATCCTATATTTCAGCAAAATGTATACATTATTATCTTCAAAATGATGTATCAACATCAATTTATCCCCTAATGAATGTTTGCTGAATGATATGCTGTGAAGGCCTCAATTTGGTTATCACCATGACAACAGAAGCCTCTCGGCAGCTGAGAAACTATCTGACGATATGAGTGTGGGGGCGAGTATCAGCCACTACCAACATGTCAATTTATAATCTCTCTGTACTTCTCCTTAAACACAGTTCACCGCACATCAAAGTAGTGCATGACATAAAATGTAGCCAGCTTAGCTCTGCTTCGGTGTGAGTGTGTGCTTCTGTGTGCACATGGGTGTAAGTGTGTGCAGTAGCTTAATCTCTCATAGTCTCTTGGTGTGCAATATCTGTTGCCTTTGACAAGTCCGCTGTGCTCCAGCAAACTTACTGAAGGCAAAGTGTACTGTGTTGGGACCGTGTGCGCAGGAAGTGGTCAAAGCCCTGTTTGGCTGACAGAGAAGCGTAGCAGACCTCTGATGAGAAGTTGGAGAATATTTGTTTCTAAAGTCGCCATTTGTGCTTGGACAGGAGCTAAATCCATCAGTCTGTGCAGCTTTATTGGCCCCTGAGAGCAAGGAAGTGACAGATAGAGAAAGAGACAGAGAGCTCTCTCCTCACTGCTCAGGTAGGAGCCAACGCATATCTGTCAACTTTATTTGACAACAACTGCACATAGATAATTCTCCAGGGGCCGGTGGAGCACAGTAACAAATGCAGTCGGCTTCTGCTCAAGCGTAAATGGAGACTCAACATGCAAACATCTTTCACATCAGGGCTTGCCCTTTGCTTTTCCGTCATTTGGCTTGATATATCTTTGAACCACTTCCTGTGTGTTCCTACCCAACACACACACACACACAGACACACACACACACGCACTCTAAGATTAGCCTGTACTGTGAAAGAATCATGCATTGATAGTTATGATTGATAGTTGAATATTTTCTGCTGATTTTACTCCACCACCCATACAGTAGCCATCGGTGGGGGTGTTGAGCTGCCCTAAATATAGCTCTCTATACCTGTTTCCATTCACCTCAACCCACACATTGCCACATCACTCTGCACACATTATTGCAACATAGCCTGTTGTTATGTTACTGGCCAGGCAGCAGAAACAGCTTCTTTCTTTTTTTTTTGGTTAAGATAATTATGACATAAAAGTATATACCTTCCACTACAGCAAACCTTTGTGTACAAAGCTGCAGTGGAGACTGGGTTGTCTTTTTAGTAACATCAAGCTGCTTTACTCATCAACAACGTGCATTCACTGCAAATAAAACATTTACACTAATTAATATCTCGCTAACGAGACACTGAAGCGAGATAGATATTCTGAAAGGACAGATTCATCAAATCTGAAAATCATACTGCGGAAACAAAATCCCGGATTAATCTTAAACCCCAAAATTAAACATGAGATATCAGGTCAAACACCTATCAGCTTACAGTTTATATCAGACAACACTGCTTTTAGTTATTTAACAAAAAAAAAAAGAAAAAAGTTTTGTTGTGAGAAATTCAATGAGAGAAAGTAGGGGGTGGGAGGAACAAGGAGTGTTGTGTTCCTACCCAACGCGTGCGTGCGTGCGTGCGTGCGTGCGTGCGTGTGTGTGTGTGTGTGTGTGTGTGTAGGAGACGCGACGGTCTCTCACTCGGGTGCAGCTTTCAGGTGCGCTTCACCGTCAGAGGTGAAAACTCCTGGAGTCGGTGCGATGGATTTCATCAGCTGAGCAGCTGAACGTCTGTGAAGAAATAAAACATGTCGCGGGGCAGCGACGCAGAAAAGGCCGATTGAAGTGAAAGTGTGGACCGACGGTAAGACGTTTTAACTTTTCACCTCAGAATCACTGAACGATCCTTCTAAGTGTTTTTCTTTTAACGTAGTGGACGACATGTGTAGACCTCGTTTCTCCATCACGTGTCACGCTACTGAAAGTTGTGTTTCGACACTTTATTGTATTTTTTCATTGGCTATTTTCTGACATACACATTTTTAACCCTTGTCTAACCAGTATATGTATGGTATTCCTTAGAATTACTGTAAGAATACAATAATTTCATTTGTTAAATAAAAAAGAAAAGAAAAATGATGTGTTGTAACTTGCAGAAACTTTTTCTATGAGTGAGGTTGTAGTGTCTGTATTGATCTGGCGTGATGAAACATTCATTGCCTACAGTTCTGCAGTTGTTTGTCAAATGTAGGAAGTGTTAAGTTTCCTAATCTGCCTTTTATCTTGATTTTTATCCTTGAATGTAGCTTGTTGCAATGCTGTGCTTTTAAATAATCTGTAGGACACAAACTGTGGTGGAAAGAAAGCAATGTATGGTAAAAACCTGAAGGTGATACCCCATGTGGCTTATTCGCACAAATGACTGTAGTGCATTACTTCCTGAGGCATCAGACATATTACTCATCAGATGTTTCCATGCACAGCTGAACCTGACAAAACAGAAAGTCTATTTGCAAATATCCAGCATAGCTGCTCTCGGCGTGAGGGCCACAGAGATAAAACCTCACCACAATCTGAGAGACTGACATGCAACAAAACCACGATGAATCGATTGTGACGTCTTTTAATGGGTCAGCATAGGGTTGGGTCTTTTTTAAGTGCCTTACACTACCCCGCTCACATAACTGTCATTCTCTCGCCTGCATTGCTAGCACACTTTGCAAACACTTGTTTCTTCTGCTCCCAGGTGTCTTTTGTCTTTGTGTTGCCTTAAAAAGAAAAACACTGAAGCTCATCTCCTCTCTCGACCGTCTCATCAGCACTTTCCACAACTGATGTAAGACAAAAATAAACAAACTGGAAAACTGCACCAATAACAGTGGCTGGTATTACCCCTATGCCCCTGCGTCCCCCGCACACTGAGTCACACGGTGAGGCGGCGATGTGCGGCGTCACTGTGACATGTGGTGTCACGGGGGCCAGAGCCCTCATACTGAGCACCAACCAGGGGAGTATTCAGTTTCACACAAGGACAGAGCAGTACTCAGCCACACAGCGGGACTTGACTCGATAGAGAGATGAAATTCAAAAGAAAAGAGAGAGAGATAAAACAGAAAAACACTGAAATTTGAGGCTTTTCTTTTAGATGGGAAAGTGGTGACAAGAGAAAAAGATGACAGAGATTTGAGAGAGAGAGTTTGAGTACCCCCCCCCTCCCCTTTTCCCTTTTTCTTTTCTCACAAAGATGCTCTTCAGATTCAAATGCTTGGGGCGTGACGTAAAGCGAAGCCATGTGAAAATCACTCCAAACTGTAGGACTGTGAAAAGAGAGCAGAGAGAAAGAGGGAACGAGAAGAAAAGACAGAGACAAATGAAAGAGAAGAGTTGCTGACTGAAGAGGACTAAGTCAGACTGCATGGGCCCCAAGTGTTGGGAAAAAATAAAAAATTGTAAGAGAGATGCAACGGAACTGATAGAAGAAGCATCGTTACCGTCGTGTCTTCATGCCGATGATATGAAGAGATTCATATTTATTATATAGGAAACAATCATGACTCTCCCACATGAGATTGCTTCTCTTGAGTTAATTAGACGGATGGGGTCAGATGCTCTGTGCGCCGAGAGACTCCATTCAGGGAGAATAAAACCCGCGTCACATTATAGAGCCGCTGAGAAAGGCACAAAGAGGGAGAAGAGTAAGAGGCACAAAAATAAATGCTTCAAGCCATTTTTCATCTACTGTGCACCGGCATTGTAACTTTTATCCATTTATCCACCCACACAACAGCAGCACTCAGCTCAGCCTATACTCACCCTTCAAGTTGGCATAAAATTGCTTTTACTGTAGAATAATTTGTGAGATCCTGACTATAGATTGTTGTTTTTTTCCCCCCCTCTCGTCTCTTTTTACTTCTCACTCTCATTTCCTGTTATTCACTCCTCCAGGTTTTCTAATGACTCTCACCTTTCCTCATGCTCTGCCTAAGTTTCAAATGTCACTTTCCTGTTGCATCTTTCTTTCCATGAACTAACCAAACCCATCACACTTGCAGCTATTTCTTCATTCTCCTCTGCTTTTCTCCGTCTTCCTGTGCTCCCTCCATTCATACTCCTCCTCCTCCTCCTCCTCCTCTTCCTCCTCTCCTCTCCTGTCATGTCGGTATCCATGAGGAACCCTCCCCAGCGCCGGCGCTCTCTGGGTCCCGTCTCCCCCAAACGCATTTACAGGAACCTGTCCGTCAGACTGAGGGGCGGGGAGACATCTGTTGCCGGGGAAACGGACGCGCCCAGGCACCTCGGCAAGTCTGCAGATGCTGTAAGATATTTGGGTTTCATCGTGGTTTGAAATGATCAGATCTTTCTTTGATATTACACGTGAGTCTGTGTCGGTGTGAGTGAATTATCTCAGGTGAGACTGCAGCTTTGATTTATTTTGACGTGTCCTGATTTAATGTCTCATCCGCTGCCTCTTCCTCCGCACAGCAACTGTCTCATTAAATACATCTGTCTTTTTGGTGTGAACCCTCTTATCCCCCCCCCCTCACCTGCCCACCCTCCCGTGGCTCTACCCCGTCTCTCCTTTTCCCCATTTAGTACCAGACTCTGTGGGAGGCGGTGGAACACGAGGACACTTTGGCTGTACAAAGCCTGCTGTCCAGAGACCACATCGGCTGTGGAGGAGGAGGAGGAGGAAGCGGAGGAGGAGGAGGAGGAGGAAGCTTGTGGGAGAGAGGAGAGAGGAAAGAAAAGGACTGGGAGAGAGAGAGGGAGAAGGGGGTGAACAGGGTGAGCGAACAGGGCCTGGTCCCTCTGGACGTGGCCGCCCTCACACACAACTCCCCGCTGCTCCACGTGCTGACAAAGGCGGGAGCCAGACATAACCCCGTTTGTAAGAAACGTTCTGTCTGATTGTTGTTTTTTTTTTTGTAAATGCCATTGTAAAAGGTCACAGTTCAGTGCAAACCATCGTTCAGACTCTGTCCCCTCTTCTCAGTGTGCCGACCAGCAGAATGGGCACTTAAGCTGGACGCCCTGGTGGCACTGGCGGGCAAACGCGTGGACGACAGGAAGAGGGAGTTGGTGAGGAAGACGGGGGCGGGGCCTCAGGCGCAGTCCGACATCCAGAGACACATCCGCCTCTGGAGCCTCAGGCTTCAGCTGTACTGCCGGATGAGGGAGAACTTCCACAAGACAGGTCGGTGGTCTCGTGGGGTCGGCTCGTGGCATTTTGTTGTTTTGTTTTTCCAGTCCTCGCTCGTCAGAAATACAGGTGTTCTTGCATTGTTGTTTCCCCCCCCCCCAGCCCTCTTCTACAAAGCTCTCCATCACTGCTGACAAAGCCCTCAGTGATCAGACATTCAGCCCAACTTCTCTCTTAGGTTTTTTTTTTACTGATTTCCCGGCTGGCCTCTTGAAAGGATCCCTCGCTCCATCCCGTTTCAGCTCGTTCAACAAATTCAACAGAATGCCTCGTCATCAACATTTTTCTAAACTCTCCCATGTCCTATTCTCCCTCCACCAGCCGCCAGTTGTATCAAATTCAAAACCTTGGTGATGGTGTATATGTGTGTATATATATATATATATATATATATATATATATATGAGAGTAGAAATCCACAAGCCTTTGGTGCAACCTCTGCTCAGCTATATTAAGCCTTGCTTCCCCCTGCAACAGCCTCCTCAAATCTCTTTCTCACCCCCGGCTCTCCGCTGGTTCAACCTCTCCTGTTTTTGTTAGGTTATATGCACCGACTTTAATTGCTCTGAATAAACAGTTCTGCTTAGTTTTCATTTTTATTCCTCTCTCAAGCACTCGCAGTTTTCTTTTCCTGACTCTTTTATGATCGCGGCGTCACTGTGAGGTCAATAAGGGCCCGGCTCTTCTTTCCGGAGGCAGTGAAATTAAGCACTCTCTCATTACAAATCTCTCTGGGTAAGAGTGTCGGCCGAAGGCTTAAAATTTAAAGTGTGTTTTTTTTATCTGAGGCCCCTTTGACTCCATCCATTCACTCCGGGTCACAGCTTCGGATGAGCAAACTATAAAAATAAATAATAGTAAAAAAAAAAAAAGCCCTTTGGCGAGAATCAATGAGAAGAACACAATTATATTTGATCACAACGCTGAATTTCATTTTAACCGGGCTAATGTTACTGCTGCTGTTGCAGTAATAATGTTGCGGTAGTTTACTGCTCTATTCACATTCACATCTTGGCAGGTCAGAGTGCAGCGTCTCGGGGCAACGCAGGGAAGTATAGCTCCATACCGGCTGAGCACAATGGCTGTTTTGGCTGCACAATATTCATTAATTTAACTGCACACATAAACGTGTCAGGTGTCAAATGTCTGGGAGTTTTGATGGGACTGTACACATTACATTTCTCTGTGGTTGTTGTAGTTGTATTTCCCTCAGAATGAACTAATCTTTTTTTAAAACTGTGTCACCCAGAGCTCCCCGGCCCTCCCAGTCACGTGTCCATAGTGGTGACCAGCACGTCCTCTTTGTTTGTGGCGATCAAAGAGCCAGAGGGTGACAACATGGGGCTCATCACCCGCTACAGAGGTAGGCGGCCAATAAGAAGATTTTCCACAGATGGGTGGATGAATGGGTTACTGAGAGGTATGACAAGAAATGGACAGAGGCATGATGTGTACAGAAAGGAAGTAATGGAATATTTACTGTATTGGTCCAACATAATCAAAGTCTCACACATCACTGAATATATTTACGTCTCCAGTTCGCCATCTCTGTCTCTGCTACTTGGTTTAACAGCTGCATAAATGTCATACCTGGCAGCCAAGGGGTAGATTAAGCCCAGGTACAGCAAGTTCCCAAACACTGTCAACAGTCAGATCCTTAGTTGTGCCCCTGTGGGGGTTTGAGTAAAGCCAGAGAATAATCTGTCAGTGCGATTGTTTTGTGTTCGTAGTGGAATGGAGCACCTCAGCCAGCTTCAAACGCATCCTCGCCTCAGCCCAAGTTACAGAGACCAAGAATCCCTCTTATAGTATCAAGGGACTCACAGCGGTAAGTCATAAAGCACACACACACGAACACACACACACACACACACACACAGGCAAGCAAACATCAGATACCAACTGCAAACACACGCATAAGTATATACATACAAAAACTCATATTTGAATAGTTCAGGGACGCGTTATTATGCACACACACACACACACACACACACACACACACACACAATAGCTCTTATCACTCCCCAATCATCATCTACTGCTGCTGAACCACTTCACATAAGAGAACACTTATCCTGCTCAACCGCCTTACTTAACCAGATGAATTAATAATGAGAGCGGCATGTGGATTCCTTTGTCCCGGGACGGACAATTCCCGAGGTTTAATGCATGATGATAATTTGGCTGTCTGGTGCGCTTCTCCAAATGCAGGGGGTGCATTACTTTGTGAGAGTGAGTGCCTACAATGTGAAAGGATGGGGCCCGCCTCAGTGCTCTACTCCAGTCAGCGCTGCCCCCTCCAGTGAGTACACTGAACTGCAAAAACTTTGATGAATGTGGGTTTGCTGCTGCGAAAAAAGGGCTCCATTCTTTTTCCCCTCTTTCTCCCCCGTGTAATGAAATGACTTTTGCTGACATCAAGCTCCATGTGGAAGAAGTGGAATCCACTCACGGCTGGTGGATTAATGAATTATTAAAACGTGAAGAATTAAAGATGTCACCGTGAGTCAATGGGCCTTGTGCTCGCGCTGCTTTGAGTTTGAATTCGGCTCAGAGTCTTTCCTGCACGCCGCCCGCTCTTCCTCGCTTCATTCCTTTTTTTTGTTACTCTCCGTTTTATCTTTTCAAATGGAGACAAAAAATATGCAAATGAATGCAAACATTAGTCAGAACACAACCACAATGGTGATATTTACGACGCGGTATCAGTTAGGTAACAAAATTTAACTTGAAATTCATATCCAACTCAGGAGGCGGCAAAGTCTCAGCAGCTCAGAATGAATCAGCACTGAACCTCTCAGAGTCACAGCACACAGATGGTCTCCCATGCAATTGCTCTCGCCTCCTAATCAACCAAGATAGGAACAAGCAGCGCTCAGGACTTGCCTGCAGATGAGCTCTTGATGTCTTGAATGATTTTCCCTTAATTGCATGAAAATTAAATTGATGGTTTGTTTCTCTCTCTCGCTCTCTCTCTCTCGCTTCCTTGTGCAGGTTGGAGAGAGTGTGTCGGTGTCAAGTCTCAGTTCAGGAACCATGAGGTCATAGTGAGGAAACTGCTGGAAGATGCCAGAGAACCACATTACAGAGGATACTGCATAGGTAACACCAGGGTCTTTAACCACTGCATCAGTCACACATATGCAGTTCCTGTTAGTTATCGCCACAGTAATGAGCGAATCTCCTAATATTTACATATCCATCATTAAATGCAATAAAATCAAAGTCTTAATCTTTCTATTTAAATCCGTAACTCTTCTCCTTGCATCTTGCCTCATGGCAACACCCAGCATCTGAAGGAAAGGCATGAAAATATGTAAGACGCTCTCCAAATTGTTTTTATTTCCCACATACTGTGGGTGCACCGGGGGTGTGACATGGTGAAATGTCAGAAATCATCCCGAGCATCAGGGACGTTGCGGCGTATTTGTTGTGATGTTTCATAAGAACCTAATATGCTCATGTTTCTGCTTTTCATCGCCACTTTACAACATTTTATATCAGCCACATACTGTATGTGTCAGCTCTATTCACTACAGAGAAAAACCGTTTCACTTGCCGTCTCCCAATCAAATATCTTGTGAGTGCACAGTGAATGTGCTCTGGCAGATAAAGTGATTCTCTCTCTCTCTCTCTCTCTCTCTCTTTCTCTCTCTCTCTCCATCTGATCCTCGTCTCCTCTTCGCTCTGCAGAGAGCTTGAAGCCCCAGAGTCCCAGCAAGCGTCTGTCTGTGTCTCGAGGCATCAAACAACTGTTCCAGTCCGCCACCAAGTTTGTTCGCCTCCTACAAAGGTAAGCACTCCATCTGTCTCACCTGTCCCACTCTTCCCTCGAGGGCGCGGGGACTAACGGATTAAATGTGATGCGATTACAGTATGGTGGACTTCTAAAATACACGTCCGAACTCTCCTCTGTTAGGGTTATTGAAAAAGAAACAGCAGTCACCTCGAAGCCTCCAGATTAGGGAAGAGCTTCCTTTGAGAAGGATGCGGGTTGAAATCACTGAGCTGTGGCGAGTTGCAAGTGACTGATCAAGGCGTCTGACTGTCACATACAGTCAGCGGGCCGCAGTCGGCACAGAGCGGTGGATGAACGGCACGGCTCTTAAGTAGGAAAGGGTGTAACTTAAAATAAAATAAAAATAATAATAAAAAATAAGAAATAAAAAAGCAGTTAAACACTGCATGGATTATTCAGACTGTGCCGGTTTCGAAGGAAAATGCTTCATGAATAAAAGCGCAAAAACATCATTTGCAGCAACTTGCAGAGCAGTTAAGAGTTATTACGCGCTGACAGTGATAACAGCTTGATTTGATGTATTTAAAAACATGTTCATGTCGGTCTGTGAAAAGTACTTGAAGGATTAAAGGCAGTTTTGAAAATTCTCTGATCTATCTGAACTCCCAGTGATCTCTTTGGAAATCCACTGGGCATGTGTGTGTGTGTGCATGTGTGTATATATATTATTGGTTTTATCAGTATCTTTCTTTGGTCTCTCTCACGTTGATCTGGTTAGGGGCGTGTACTTGGCAACTGTGTTCTACCACAAGGACAACGTCCTGTTGACAGCCGAAGATCAAATCCCCCTGGTGGAGATCCAGTGCTGCTCCACCTCCATCACCCACGACTTCCCCTGGTTCGCCAAGGTGAACTGTCAGCAGATACATATGCGCGTGAAATTAACCCACGCTGACGCACAGTAAATGCTGCGTGTGCCTTGTAAACCCCATCGACACATCGATCTGTGATTTGTCTTCCATTGTTTTCTCCAGATGAGTTTTTACAGAACGAGGACTGTGTCTCATTTTCCGTCTGAGATGCAGTTTAAATTATTAAAAGGTAATTTTTTTGTTTTGTTTTCTTGCAGTTGTCATGCGCCTGGCAACAAGTGCCCTGGCTCCAGCAGGCCCTCTCCTCCGCACATTCATCTCCCTCCTCCCTCCTTCAGAACAGGCACAACATTTTAAGAGCCGTTTCCCAGCTGCAGGTAGGAAGTTAAGCAGCTTACTCCGCATGGTGAGAAGCATCAAAATGGGTTAATTGCCTTTTTAATTACCTCTTTACATCTCTTCTTCCTCCTACTCTTCTTACCGCTGCCTCAATTCACTATCTCAGGCTACATACCTGTTCCCCCACAACCTGAGTTTCACCGCATTAATCCCTAATTCCCCTCATGTTTATTTCTGTTTCACCTCTCCACCTTTTCTCTGCTGTCAGTCTTCCCTGGGAACGGTCGACCTGGGCCAGGTGTACTACGAACCTCTGAAAGACCGGCAGGGCAACGTGCTACTGGTGACTCTGAAGGAGTTCCCAAACCCTCCCAGGTGAGAAAGAGCCTTTTGTTACGTCCCGTTAAATCCCTGTGTGACAGTTTTATTTCCTCCACAACGAGCGCACACCGTCAAAAGGAGAGTTTCTGCTTTCTTCTTTATAAAAAGGACGGTCTCCGACTCTCCATTCAGCTGCTCACACTCAGGCGCCGCTCACTCATAATGAAAGAAACATTTTCAACATCGACCAGATTGTGTTAATCAATCACCTGAGTCAGAATCATGCAGCCCCGTCTGTTGGTTGTTGCCGTTGAACTAAAATGACTTATTAAAAACTCGAAGGCGGTTCCACGTGGTCGCGTTTCATTTTGACCTTGATTTGTCTGCTCCACTCCAAGTCCTCCCGACCCCCCGCTCCACTGGCTGCCCCTGGCCCGCCTGGAGAAGAACCGCAGCAGGACTCCTCGCCTGCCCGAGCCCACTGCCATGGACATGCTGTATGAGCAGCTCAAGGTGAACCTGGGTTTGTGTTTGTGTAAGACACATCTAACATCGTGGACATGCTGAGCAGCAGCTACGTGCAGCAGGATGTATTGACCACTGAGTGCATTTTGATTGAGTGTATTGACTTTCCTGTCTTGACTATCGAGCCGTGTTTTTCTCCCCTGTGCAACTCAAATCACCCTGGAAACGCTCTGGAATTTATTTAACCCAAACCGAATTAGCTAAACCGAAATTCACGACAAAATGACACACAGGAAGTAAGCGTTGCGTCTTGATGAAATCTTCAACACCATACCTGTTTCTCTCTGCTCACCAGGAGAAGCTGTCCTTCCACAGGCACAGCATCCAGTGGGCTCAGCCGGGCCTGTACGTGGGCATCCTGAAGCTGTGCAGCTCCGTGGAACAGATCAGGGTCCTGGTTCCCCAGAGGCTGCCCAATCTGCTCTGCCACACCCGGGTCCGACACAACGCCCACGTGTCCAGGTAACGCAGTTTGAACCGTGTGAAACACCGTTTCTGCTGTTTGGAGGCAAAAGAAAAATAAATAGCAGGTCTCGGTCGATGAGCATTTTCTAAAAACATACTGTTCCACACTTGTTGCGTAAACCCACGTGCTTTAAGTCGACTACGAAGGCAGTGGCTCCTCCCTGCATCTGCATTAACATGTGACAGGATAACAGAAGATAGATAAGCTTTGGAAAATGGTCTCAACAAACATAAGTCGTATGCAATTAGTAATTAATGGGCCACAATGTGCAAAAATGCAGATATGTTTTGTTTATTTTTACCTTGAATCTCACTTATTACGCCTTTTATAGCAATGCTTTTCTTTCATCTGCATTGTTGTGTGACAGAGAGGAGTGGACATGGCTCCAGAGTCACGTTTACACCACAGCCAACGGCAGCGTCCAGAACCTGCTGAGCGGCGAGGACGAGAGCCTGATGGAGAGCAGCGGGCTGGTGGACTTTGTCAGGTCTCTGAGAGCGGCCGTCACACACCTCCTGACGAAGCTCAACATCCCCCTCTACAGGGTAAAAAAAACCATCTCCAAACGGCCACCTGCAAAATTCTCCTTTTCCCAATACTGATGTTGTGAATCGTTCAGGAAGCAGAGGACTGATGTGAACTGGTTCGGTTCGTCAGTATTTATCATTTTGCCTTCTGGGGAATTCAGCTCAACACATAGACTTCAACAGGTTTTCATCACGTACATAAATACATAACAGACGTAACATATTATATACGGTGTCCCTGACAGGCCTACCAGTACGGTGTGTACACTCGCGAGCTGCTGCAGTTTGGAGACAAGCTGTCCGTGCTGCTGCTGCTGCCCCCCAGCGAGGACTTCAGCTCCAGTTACTGGCCCCTGGTGGGGACCAAGGAGCCCGGCCTCACCATGCCTCTGCAGATCTTTGAGCTAGGTACGTGGAGAGCTGCAGTCCACAGATACGGCCTTTGTCTCACAGCAGTCAGCTGCAGTGTTTTTCAAGCAGGGATCTAGGCGACTGCCACTGGCTGCAAAAAAAAAAGTTGTGATTCCTGCTGTGATAAATCCATCAAACTGGGATTACTGTGGACTCTGAGGTTAAGAAAAAACACCTGGCAGGGCGACCTTCTCTAACGAAGAGCAGCATGGCGTCCTCAGGACCTTTTGAAGCAAAAAACAAACAAAACAAAATAAAGGAACAGCAGCATCACAGACGAACAGAGCGACAGAAGTCGTTCTATATGGCAGATATGAATCATCAATAAACGTGTCTCATCTTCAAAAGAACCAAAGCAAATAGTTTAAGAAGATAGTTTCAGAAAAACAAACCCCAAAAATAACCAATAAAATGCATTTTAACCACAGTTTGGTTGGAAAGAGAGACATGCATTTGATCTTTTGGTCTTCTGAAGATGAGTCACTGTTACTGTCTATTTTTTTTTTCTTTAAATCTAATCAGTCCTTTGATCCCGAGTCTCCACCACACTTCAGGATTTGTTGTGACTCTAGTTAAAATCCGTCTTCCCTTTTGACCCCTCTTGAAAACTCCCTCAGGTAAAGGTATGATAAAGTGTGCTAATGAGATCTGGCGCTTTTTCTCTCGGCTTTGATGTAGTGATTTGTCTCTCCTCTTAACTCTGGCTCACCCCCCCCCCCCCCCCAGTTCACTTCTGGACGTATGAGCGGGACTTCCTGTCCCAGTACTGCCAGGCGTGGGTGAGGCTGGAGCTGGACACTCATCTGGCCCAGCAGGCTCTGCGGGAGGCGCTGGACACCAAGGAGGTGCAGGAGGCCCGGGAGAGGCTGAACCACATCAGTGAACTTTCCCATGTAAGGTCACGAAAGACAGAACAAACTGAACAAACGCACTGATGCAAAGCCGCAGCTGCTGTTGCAAAAGCCCCATCTCGGTTATCTCAAAGCTTTTGTCTGCTGCTCTTCCTCTGTGATTAATGCAGCGTTAATGAGGGAGATGAATAAGAGATAAAGGCTTTTACTTGGAGTCACACACCAGTGTATTTGATTAAAGCGTGCCACCAGTAATATTTTAGACTTTTAATATTTCACCTAAAGACCTTTCACCAGCAGAACATTTGTTGTAGCTTTAACCACGTTAACCGTTTCACTGCCTCTGCGCTCCTGTGCTCTCTCGTCACATCAGCGTCTGGATGTGGTGTGGAGGGACGCCCGCTGGATTATGGACTGTCTGCAGTGCGTTCGCTCCAAGCAGTGGGTGGGGGCGGTGCCTCTGGGTCTGGTGATGGGTGGAGACCCACCGCCCCGTCCCGACGGCGAGGAAGAGGAGGAGAGTTTGACCGCCAGACTGACGTGGCCCAGTCGAATACAAGCACAGAGAGCCATTGCAGGTACAGTGATGATGGGGGGGGGGGGTCATTTTAAAGACGGTGACCCCACAGAACTTCATTTAAAACTTTGCTAACATCCGTGTTTTCTACGGATATTTTATGCGTCAAGCTGAACCACAGGGAATATAAACTGCTGTAATAAAAGGAGGTGCTTTAAATTTGCATCATATGGTATTTACATTAAGTACCATATGGTATAGCTTCCCTAAAGCATCGGAAGCAGCTGTTGAATATATATTGGGCCAAACAAGACAAACTGTGTCCAATATTGCAGCTGCTCGAGGGAAAATTTAAGTCAAGTCTGGAGAGCACTGGGTTTGACATGAGAAACTGTTTCTCTTCGCGCTGTCAGAATAATTACTGTTGTGACAAACAACTGTGAATCAACTTGCTTTAGCCTGAACGATGCTATAAATCAAGGATTAAGATTTTACTCTCTCTCTCTCTCTCTCTCTCTCTGAACTTCTCTTTGTTTTTCTAGCTTCTCTGTCAGAGAACTTAGACAGTGTGACTCCACCTAATGTCGTCTCGGCTGAGGTCTCCGCCCCGGCAGGAATCGAGGTCGCCCCCGAAGAGGCCGCTCTGGGGTTGATGGAGGGCGTCGCCAAGGGAGGGTACCCCGTGGACATCACCGCCCAATCGGTGGTGGACTTGACGAGCATCGGCCCGTCTGAATTAGGATGCGCGAGCGCTTTAATTGAATCTGGACTCGAGCCGGCCGCCGTCGCACAGTTGGACGTAGCGTATACAATGCTGGACACACAGGAGTCCTACAGCCGGGAGGAGGACTTTCCCTCCAGCATCACTGAGGTGATCCGACCGATGGAGATGGCAGAGTTGGTGGACATCTTGCCCACGCTGAGTCTTATTGAGGAGGAGATCCCCAGTGGCCCCCCCACACCATCAGTAATGGATATGCTGGAGAGCTTTGGACTGGGGATTGGTGACAACAACAGCTTCTTTAACTTGGGGAATTCAGTCTTGATCGGTGGAGCTGAATGTCTCTCACAACCCGACGTGCACTGTAACAACAGCAGCGGCGGCGTGAGGGGGGCACACGGCGAGAACGTGGTGTCACAAGGACAAGACGTCGTGGTGGTGGTGTCGGCCTCTCACGCCGCGTCGGGCGCCAGCGGTGGAGACGTGCCTGTTTTGAGCTGGGATTTTCCTCCAGAGGATACAGAGACTCAGCAGGTTCCCAGCAAGGGGCCGTGCCTCCCAGCGAGAAACCAGGTGGAGTGGGACAGACCCTCCGGCAGCTTGTCCTGATATCGACTCAAGCAGCAGCCTACGTCGAACTTCTGTCAATGTAAAACCTCAGCAGCTGGACGCCATCGATTCACAGAGAAAAAGCCGAGTTAGATTTTTTTTTGGTTTGGAAATGACTTGATCCTTAGTCCCTGACTTTCCATCAGTGTCCACTTCACGTGACATCTAGATACAACTTCATCTAACATATGATTGCAGCTGATCTAAAAATGGAAACTTAAAAGAAAGATGTCTTTGTTAGGCTTATTTATGTGGTTTGCACATATCTGGACCTGTAGCTGATCTTCTCTAATATTCAGTCCAGTAGAGCTTCTCGTGTGCATGAGCTAAGTTATATAGTACCGGTTCTTATGGCTTGAAAATCCATCACTCACTACAGCATAAAGCAACACTGCCGCTTGTTGGAGCTGGTAAACATTAATTTATATTAAATGCATACAGTTCAGTTTTCTCTGCAGTCGATAAGAAGCTGTTATTCTGTGGTTTACCTCTGTAAAACTTTTGGTATTTAATAACAAAGCGGGAGTGAGATTTCTAATCCTGTTGATCATACAGTAACTGCTGTTAGTCGGACCAGTTTGCCAGTTTCGACTATTTGCTTTTCCATGGTCCACTCGAGCCGAGATTCACAAGAAACACGAGTCAGACAAAAAAAAAAAGCCTAAAGATAAAATGCCAGTTAACAGTCGTGAGAAGGACACGGAGGAGGATTTCACAGATGATCCCTCACTACAAAGGTCTATTCATATTCAGGTTTTTAAATCCTCAAACATTTCATTTGTTTGCCTCCATTTACCCTTTTAGTAAAAAAAAACTGTTTGGTTTGTCTCAGTTCCTTAAGGAGCATGAAATCCATTCAAATTCAGACACACAGAAAGTTATTACCTCCGCCAAGTCTGTTATGTTTTCACCCGTGTCTGTTTCTGTTTGTTGGGTTGTTTGTTTGTCATCGGGATGAAATGATTTGCTCTGAACTTGGTGGATGGATGGACGGGGGATGGGCCAGGGAAGAACCAATTAAATCTTTGTGCAGATCTGGATCATTTACTATGAATTTGGATTTTTTTTTTTCCTCTTAAGTCAGATGTGTGTTGTTTGACTCTGGCCTTGGCGGACGTTTGTGCTCTCACAGTGCCTTTCTATGTGTTTCAGTTTGGGAGAGGGAAACCTTAATAAAAGGAATCACCGCAGGAACAATGCAGACTGAACCGACTGGATAAAAGACTATGGACAAATATTAGACGTGTGTGGAGTGGCAGAGTGAGGTGGTTTTCTTAGCAGAGCCACAAAAACGAAGGGATGTACCGAAAATGCAAGAATACAATACAGTTGAATAGAGCTTTTCTTTGCAGTTCAGTGCCTCTCAACAAAAGTCAATATGGCTGCTTCCATCGGACGAAGTTCACATTATTAGCAAGGTTTTTATCTTTTGTAGGAATAAAAGAAACACAGTCACTTTAAACACCATGAACATGTGGACAACTACATTTCCTGAAGGGCAATATGTATTAAACTGTTAAGTGGGTTGTAATTGCCCAAAATGATGTTGTTAAAAACTCCTTTAAATACCTCCTGTGAAGCTGTCGCACGGTGCTTTAGTATTCCATGTTTCATTTCTTATATTTCTTCTTCCCCTTGGGTGAGAAAAACAAATCAATGACTGTAACCTTTCAGTTTTAAAGACCATGCACATCCACACAGTGTGCACACTCACACAGGTGTTCTCACTTATTTTACCTAATTAGACTTCTCAAGACTGAGTGGGTGTGTACAGACTGTGCTTCATTGACTTCCCTCTGTTGTACGTGTTGAGAGGTCGGGTAAAGGATGGGGCAGAGTCTAATCGACTGGACTTAAAAGAAAATGCCTTTTCACTGACTCACTGGAGGTAAGTGAATTGTCAAATTAATCACGTCTCATCCTAATGATGCAAAAACATGGGGACATGTATGTTGGAGAATACTAGGTTTAACAAGACAATCTATAGTCAATCTGTTGAGTGTTTCCCCTGCTGTGTTAGCAATTAGCCGCCAGAACAGAGTAGATGTACTCTGTGAACACTTTCCTATGATAAAGGAATACATTAAAGTTCTAATTAACTTAGTGCCAGCTCTGCCTCACATCAAATAGTTACTGATTAGGACATCAAAGCAGAACTCGGTCACCCTTTTTTTTCAGAATATTAGTTAATTATTTTTGCTGGTGCCACTAATGAGTGTGCCTCCACTGGTTCACAAAGGTTAAATCTGATTAGTTGTGTATCTACTATGTAATTCAATTGTGAACTTGAGACATTTTTTGTTTTATTTTGAAAGACTAGTGTGGTATAGCATTGTCTGTCTTTCCTGAACGAGAATTTCAAAGTTAATTCACCGTATTTTAAAATCATGAATGTTCGTTACCCTCTAGTGGTCAAAATGGGGAACTGCAACCATCGATTAAATTGGTTGCTAAAACGTACAGTATCAGCGTAATAAGTGGTGCACAAGTTTATGTTAGCAACGAATAAACTGAAATAGCTGCAAAGTAAGAAAAAATAACTGAAAAATGAAATAAAATGGAGATAGAAAACAAGTTGCTCCCTGATTCATATAGAAACTAACTCCACAATTACTCATTGATAAGCAGTTTGTCTTTCAAATTAAATTCTGACCAAATTACATAATGGATTTAACTCAGACGAATAACTGTTTTCATGACAGTTAGCCCACTTTCACCAAGCTGAACTGGAGAAGCATCCCAGTGGTCACCAGTGTGTAACTGCAATATGTTAAATTCTTAAAATTTGTGTCAGTGCATACAAGATAGCATAATAATACTTCTGGGAAAATACTTTCAAAATATAGATCCAGGTCAGTACTAGTTCGGTCACTTGACCCTCATCTTTAATTGGGTAGTTCCTTTCTTGTTTATACGTTTTCACATATTGATCTCTTGGGCTAATTTCACTAATTAAGTTTGTTGCAGTTCCTTCCACTGTAATCATAAGAAAATTGGAGGGTGGTAAACAACACTATTAACAATTAAACCTAATGATAATTTTTGTTTGATAATGGCAGTTTGGTCACTGTATTTTGAAAGGATTTACCGGAAGTCTTCATATACTATCATCTCCGCATTGATGCTAGTTTTGTTGTAGTTCCTGAGTACAGCCACTAGAGGGCAGTGAACGCCCCACTCTGTTAGCACTGTTGACTTTCTCACTGTGTAGCTATGTGCACTGTGCAGATCTCCTAACTGGGAGAGAGCTGATCAGAATCGATTATAAGTAATGAACCGACTGTTCGTGACTACCTCACACAACCCCACGTCAATAAAACCTGAACTGTCCCTTTAATATGAGACTCTGTTTATCTGAGTGAGTTAAGAATTACTGGTTTTTACTGCCATCCAGTGGTCACAGAGATAAACTGCAGCACCTGATCCATTTTTGAGGATTTTTTGATCAGATTCATGTGCAACTCATTTCATCATAGTGAGATTATTACAAGCAACAATAGCAACATCTGCATTGGTGGTCATTGTATTATTAAAGGCCGTTTCCTGGGGAGGAGACCGGTCTCCACTACGTGACAACTCTTCGTCACTGTTATTATTTCAGGGGAGGTTTTCGTCGCATCTCTCTGCTCCTCCGCGGACTGTGTCTGCACCGATGCTTCCTGCGCTCTGGTGGAAATTAAATGACAATTAAAAACAAAAAGGAAATCCGAGTCGTAGCGACAACGTACGGAAACCGTGTTCTGTATTCTCGGCCATCGAATCACCGGCAGGTCAAAGGCTTTTTTTTATCATAGTCTCCGTCAGGATGTCATCATCTGAAAATGCTGCGTCACATGAAGGTATGTGGACTTATGTTATCACACTAAGTTCATGATCTGAGCAGCACTGCACCAGTGTACTGTGGCCCGCTACACACAAAAACAGCAGCAGCTATTTAAATGATCATACATGCTTTATAAAACCTAGTCCATAAAATATAAACTGGTATAAATGGTGCCTAGAAATTGATGTAGTGTCTGCTTTAAATAGGCCAGATAATGACTGCAGCCAGGAAGGGAAATAGTTATAAAAATTTTTTAAAAAAGATGGACTTGTGTATGACTGAATTTCTGCCGCAGCCTGTGAAGCATCACCCCCTGCAGCAGAGGCAGAACCAGAACCCCTGAGGATTGTTCTGTTGGGGAGGACAGGAACAGGCAGAAGCTCCTCGGGCAACACCATCCTGGGCAGGTCTGCGTTCTGGGTCGACACCTCTCCCTGTTCTGTCACCGCCCAGTGCAAGAGGCAGACCGGGACAGTAAATGAGCGAAGCATCTCTGTGATCGACACTCCGGGGTTCTTCCACACAGGGCTTCCCCCGCAGGAAGTCATGGCAGAAGTGGGGCGGTGCGTCGTCCTGTCCTCTCCGGGACCCCACGCCTTCGTGGTGACCCTGCGGCCCGGCAGGTTCACACCGGAGGAGAGAGACGGCTTGGAGTGGATCAAAGCTACATTTGGGCCTGGAGCCACCAGGTTCGTCGTGGTGCTGTTCACCTGGGGGGACCAGCTGCAGGGCAAACGCATCAAGGACTTCCTGGAGGAGAGCCAGGAGCTGCTGGAGTTTGTCAGCAGCTGCCACGGCGGGTATCACGTCTTCGATAACAGCGAACAGGTCAAGACCACGGAGAGCACACAACAGGTGGCACAGCTACTGAACAAGGTAGACAAGATTGTGGCAGACAACGGAGGTGGTTGCTATAGCAACGAGATGTTTAAGGAGGCTGAGAGGGCCATCAGGGAGGCACAAGAGAGGATTCTGGGAGAAACAGGACCAAGGGTGGAGTCCCCTCAGAAGAAGGCCGAAGACAGAGAGGAGCAGGGACCAGAGTTGGAAAGGCGGAGGAGGAGGGAAGAGGAGCAGAGGAAGAGGGAGGAGGAGGAGGCCAGGAAGAGGGCGGAGAGGCTCTTCTGGTGCGAGCTGCTGACTGCGCTGGGGAAAGGCGCTGCAGAGGGAGCAGGGATCATGGAGAAGGACAAAGGGAAAGGGAAAGCTGTGAAGAAGGTGAAGGTGGTGGAGAAGGCGGCGGCTCTGGCAGCAACGCCGCTCTCCATCACTTCTGCTGCCAAAGCGGTGGGAGGGGCTGTGAGAGAGGGAGGTAAGGTGTTATACAAACACCGAAAAACCTTCCTGCACTGATGGGAAACGTGCACTTCAGGATACAAGGACAGAGAAGTGACTGTGTGAAACTTCACTTTTTACACTGTGTCTTGGTTTAACATTGACTTTATGCACCAGCACTTTCAGACCATAATGTTAAATAAGAATGCATGCATATTTGTGTGTGTGTGTGTGTGTGTGTGTGTGGACTGTAAAAAAACACACACCTGAATAGAGAGAAATCACGTTATAATAAAAGTAATGTCATAAAAACGGTGTGCAATTCAACTTTCTGCCAGTAACACATTTGCAAGTGTCAATCCTTTCGTATATCAAAGCTTTTACACAAATTCAAGACCCTCCACTGACATTTTCCTATTTCTTTTTTCTTCGTGACAACAGAACAGTTCAGTCAGGGAGACGACCCCTGAAACCCAGCAGCTGTCTGTTCCATCTTTGGCCGTATATATATATATATATATATATATGACATGACAAAATGATTAGCCCTTTTTCTCCCATGAAATAAACACTGAAATACAAAAAGACAATAATGAAGAGGAAATAGTAATAGTTAACATATTTGGCAAAGAGGAAAAAATAAAGTTAGCACATAACACAGTAAACTATTCAGGGAGGGTCTAATATTACAGAATAGGAAGACACTGTGAAAGATTATAGATTAGAAATTTACAAATACTACAGTATTTGTCTTTACTGCAAATCACTGGGCAGAGTGAGTTTGGATAAAATGTAGGAAACTTTGATTTGGGAGTCTTGAGACTCTTACAGCTGTAACACAGGATGCACTGGTGCTGACAAACGCTGCAACCTCAGGTACATCTCTGTGGATTCAACAGGGGGGACAGTAAGGACAAATACAGTTTCCATAGTGTTACTCACTTGCCTGAATTTAAGTTCCATGTGCACATCAAGTGTAACATTTGCATTTTATGAAGGAAAAAAACAAAACAAAAACCCCAAACATACATCACAAACTTCTGAGCACAACAGAGCATGTGCGAATACACACTCGCAAACACACAGACTCTCTCACACACACACACACACACACACACACACACACACAAGCTACCAGTCAGACAGAAAATCAATTTCTAGAGGTGCACTCATTTCAGTCTACAGGAAGATGTCAGACCATTAGTCCCATCGCGAAACACATGTACAGTTGAAGGGCAAGGTCTGTGTTCAGATGCTGAGCTGTAGCAGGCACAGATGGTCTCTTTTTAAATGGGCATCGGCAAACTCATCTTCGCTTTTCCTCGAAGCACTGCAGACAGGCGGGGGACAGAGAGGGACAACGAAAACCGGGTGTGAGAGGAGAGTTTGACCTCGAAACCACGACATTTACATTTCCTCAAACACTATTCCCAGTCACCACTAAACATCTCATAACAGACAATAAACTCTTTACAGAATACAATGAATGGAAACAGCACACAGCCGGGCGCCTGTAAATGTTCAGTAAATAAATCAGTTACACTGGAGTTTGTGGCGACAGAAGACAAAAGTTTGGGATAGGTTGTTAAATTATAACCAGCATTTGATTTTGATCTCTCACAGATTAAAGTGTCGAGCAATTAGTCAAGAAAAGTCAAACTTCCTGTTGGTCGTAGCTCTATAGATAAGGACTACACATATAATTACTACAAAAACAAATTAATTATGTCAACAAAAGTTCAGGTGCAGGCTTCTAGTCTAGTCTTGTTGTTATGCTGAATCATCCCCCTTCACAACAGTCTACACTCACCCCTTGTGACGTAAAGGTAGAAGAAGTCGCAGTAGAAAATGGTCTGCACGACGCCAGACACCACCGCGATCTGGTCAAAGAAGCCCTCCGTGTGGTAACGCCACACCCAGTTGGCTATGTAGAGGGCTCGGTAGAGGCCCAGGAAGAACAGGTAGTGGGTGGTGATGGACTCGGCCTCGCCGGTCTTAGTGATCATGAAGAGTTGCGGCATTATGGCCACCGCCTCCAGGAAGATGGAGAAGGTCCAAAGGACCTGGGTGGAAGTTTCAAATGGAGATGTTGAGAATAAATGTGAGAAGAGGAGTTTTAATTAGGCAATCTAAATGTAAATATAACATCATTAAAACTTAAATTAATAAGAAATCATTTTGTGTATTTACCTCCATTGGGGTGAAGACGTAGTTCTCCAGGAAGGACAGTCCGATGACCGGCACCAACAGGAACTCCACGCGGAAGGTGTCGTTCTCCGAGTCGTACGAGTTCCTGAAGCGCATGTAGATCAGGTACACAGTGGCGTAGGACATAGCCAGGAACACCACCTGAGACCAGGGACAAGTATTGATTATTGGTCTTCAACATCCACGAAAACAAAGCAAAACACTGATAGTAAGACTCTCAGGCTGTCAGTGGTTGTTTTTACAGGTCGAACTCACTGCTCCCGTGTGTGTGTGTGTGTGTGTGTGTGTGTGTGTGTGTGTGTGTGTGTGTGTGTGTGTGTCTTGGTCTTCAAAACCTTAACCCTACCCCTGTTCATTGGGCAGGGCCTCTCTAACAGTCTTGTAGCTACAGTCAACACTGAGGGTTAGGTTAAGGGTGAGGTTTTCGTGCACGTTTAACTGCACGTACACACACACTTACCTTCATGACTGTGTTGTAGGCAGAAATGAAGGCTGTGAACAGGTCAAGGTACCGGGTGGTGAAGACGAGTGCAAACAGCACCTGAGACTTCCCAGAGATGCCTAAACAATTAAAACAGACAATTAAAATGAGAAGTAGATAAACAAATATAAATAAATATGTTCATAGTGAAAGGGTGAGAGTGCAAGATGCAGCACTATAAATGAGATTAATCATTGCCTAAGGCAGAGGACTGGTCACTTAGAGTTCCTGAGCAGCTCACTGATATGATAGGAATGAGCTGTAGTGCAGATGTAGTTTGCCTGAAAGATGCAGGCTGCTGTATCATAGGTGGAGCATGCAGCAGATTGCTCCATTAACACTGCCACGTAGTTTTCACTCCTGAAGAAATACTCAGCATTATGCAAAGTACAGTTCCGGTAAACTTCAGATTTAGCTTGATCAATACCACTGCGCTGTTAACTGCTGCGCGCTGCCACAGAGAGGCCGTGCGGTCACAACGGTCTCCAGCGACTTAAAGTGCAGTGGGTGTCAAGAGTGTGAGCCTACCAGCACAGGATCTGCTCCTCCATATCTTCAAGAGGAGGATGATGATAGCCGCCAGATGTGACACGTCACCCGCCAGACGAAAGACATTCATGTTGTTGATGTTCCGCGTTAACAACAAAACCTTAACGCAGCAGCTTCACGGGCCTTTACACGTCCACAGCAGACAGGGCAGAGTTGTTGAGCCTCGGACACAAACTCCGCGCGCGTCACAAAAAAATGAGACTGAGATTAACAACAACAACAAAAAAAGAAAAGAGAAAAAAACAAACAGGCTGCAGATCTGTTAGACCGCTCGTTGGCTCGTTATCAAAGCGCGCGTGGGGACAAATAGGTAAACCGTGTATCGATTCCGCTCGCGGACTCAGCGATGTGTGCAGCGTTTCTCAGAGGAAAGTTGATTCAGAGGAGGTGACGTGGCTGACAGCTCAGACAGCAGGAACCAGCGTCAAGCGGACCCGGATCAAGCGAACGCACGATCTTCCGCTTCTCATCTTTTTCAAAATAAAACTCGCACCGGTCAACACCCTCACTTCCGTTTGGCGTTTACCCATAAAAGACATTTCCTTTCTGTCTATAAAAGTTACCTGTGTTAAGTTCAACACGTTTAGCATCGGTAAGCGGTGCCAGGCGATTCGTTAAAAGACTTCACCATTTTATTTTGAAGGCGAAATCCCTTTATATCCAGTGTTGATTGACTTTCTGTGGCTAACTTGATGCTGCTTGGATTTATGGCCAGATATGTGTCTGGTGGCTCATCCTCAAGATTATTGCTTTCATTAAACAGCAGATGGCGATAGACTGTAGGAAATAATGAATTTGAAAACTACTCTCTCTCTAATTTGGTCATGATTTAAATGAATCATACATTAAAATGTACCTGTCTCCAGGCTTAGATAACATTACATGAATACTTGCTTATTTAAATGTAAGTAGATGCATAAATGTAATAAAGTAATCTGATTGTGTGTGTGAAACGATCTGAGCAGATGAAATTAGTTTTTCACAGTGGATGATGAATAACTATCTGTAAGACTAATGTGAAAACATCTCATTCCCACCCTGCACTGTAAAAATGAGAATCCTAATTTTAAAGAAAATAACTAACAGTAATTTTCTGTTTTTTAAAATTGTGTACAAAAATCCATAAAATTACAGAAATTATCTGTGAATTAACAGCAAAACCTCTATTTTAAGCATTATGCCAATAATAATGAATTACATTTATTTCCCATTTTTTGTAAAGAAAAATTACTATATTACTTATACAGTCTGTGTCTGTTTTTTCGCCCACCAATTTATATAAAAAAGAAAAAAAAGAAAAGAAAAAAAAGCTAATGATAGCAGACCCACTTGTCATTTTGCAATCTTATAAATGCAAGCCAGCTGCTAATGCTAGAGCTAATGAGGGGCAGGTCTATATACTGTAAGCACACACGTACATTTATCATCATTTATTTATTGTATATTATTGTTAGCATTGTAACAGTAATCAGTCATTATTGTAGAAAAGAAGCTAATCCTGGTGATCAGTGCTAATGCAAATGCTAGCTAGCCCTCCAGTAAAGGAGAAAAAAAGCTAATGCTAGCAAGCTAGCCCGGCCCCTCTGTTTGTCCGTTTTTTCACCAATAAAAGAAAAAAAAAGCTATTGCTAGCAAGCAGTATCAACGTGTATTCACTTGGTCCATACAATCTCAAGTTACAGTCATCAGTTACAAAATGAGCCTAAAGTTACTGACGTAACTAGCTGTACAACAGCCGAGAGCAACAGACAATTCTAGTAACCACTAAAATGTCAATATCACCACCTGAAATATTTGTCAGTCGTTGCACTGAATATCCTCTTTTAGGAGGTGTATGCCGGAAGTTGTTCTTCGTGGGACTGAGGGCAGACTTGACACTCCGCTGACTCACACAGCGTCTAGTGTCACAAAGTGGTATTACAATACGGGGACAGGCTGGTGAGCGTGCGCCTTTCAGTAGATAACTCTGAAATACAACAGATGGAGGG